CTGTGTGGACTGCAGTGGGCAATCCAGCAGCATGTGGCGGCTCCCTTGGTTTTACATGAGTTGGGGGGGTTCCCGGTCCCAAGTACGGCAAGTGACAGGTCTTCACGTGATTCTTGTGCACTTCTGGACAGGACAAATGAGACACGGTTCTCTGGCTGCCAAAAGTTGTCACTGCAGTCTTTTCTCCCAGAATAAATCTAGTCGCCAATGACAACCTGGCTGTTGTAGGCTTCCAGCCCTTTTGCAGTGTGATGAAAAACTCATGTAATCATGTTTGGGGAAGCACTGCCCAGAACCCTAAGTGCCCAGAACCCTAACCCTTCAAATCTATGCTGACCTCCCACACAGCTTTTAAATGGACGTACCTTAGTATAACCTTGAATACTTCAGCTTCCAAAGAATATCAGTGAGAAATGGCACAGTCAGGCAACCACTTTCAACACAGCTTGACCAAGAGAATTGGTGTCAAAAGAATGAGAGCCTGAATGGACATTCTTAGAGGCTTAATCCTCTTGAGATAAAAGCTGAGAGGCCTTTTCACATGGAGCTTAAGGAGATGAGTTTTGCCAGGATGGGCACGTGGGGTGGGAAAAGTACTGGTGGAGTGAATGACTGAAAGAGATAGTATTCTGGCCTGAATCAACAAGCCTTAAGGAAACTCCTTAATAAGCTCATTTTTATTCATTCGTTTGACAAAATGAGTGCCCACTGTGTGCAGGATTCTGTGTTAGGTGATGGGTTTTTATGACATTTAGCATAAGCTGCATCACTGGCTAAAATGAAAACTCACTTACCTCTCAAAGGTAAATTTAGTGTGAATACAAATAGAATTGCCAATGCGGGAAATTTTACTTGGGGGTAGAAGTCGTTCAGAGGGGTACTTTCATCAGCTAGGTAAGTATTACCTTAATCCTGGCCTAAGTGTTTCAGGGAAACACTGACCTGAATAGCCTACTACTTGCACGTGGTCTCAGGCCTAACTGCACTCAGGTTTGCCCCTCTTTATGAAGGGCAAACTTCTGGTACAGTCTGTACTCAGAAATCCTTGCAAGCCACCCACCTCTCTAGGCCTGACACGAGGGAAAGGAAAGGTGTGGCATTGTTCATCATAGCTCTCAAAGCATCCTTGCAGAGCTCATCTTTTGTGGGGATACACACTGACATTTCACTGATTCAGACATCCTGACGTGGGTGTCTCTCCTGTCAAATGAAAGGGGAAGGGCTGGTGGAATGGAAGGTCAAAGCTTAAATCTTGAAGTTTGAGTTCAAGACCCAACACACTAGCTACCTGGCCTTGAACAGGAATCTTAACCTTTCTAGGTTTCTGTTGGACTGTCTGTAGAATTAGTTACTGATGTTTACCCCACCGGGCTGTTATGAGGATTGGACAGGAGGGAGACTTAGTGAAGGCAGGGTCGCAGGCTTTTGCTGTCCTGGTATTTCCAGGATGCAGCCCAAGTAAAGGTGTAGCATACATGCACATGATATATTATTTATTATACACAGAAAACCACACATTCATAGACATTCAAATTAATCTTTGATTCGTACCTGGATTCTTTAGTGTGAATTGACAGACTAATAAAAGGAGTAGATAGTGTTAACAATGGCAGATCATACAGGCTGTGAGTGTGTATGGGTGTGTATGGAAGGATTTCTGTGTAAATTCTAGCACAGATTGTGGGAGCCAGGGTTATGAAACTTACACTCTCCCAAATGATGACTAACAAAGCATATGCCTTTCAGAGTGACAGCAAATAAGTTAAAGACGAGCCCTTCTGCCAGGAAAACCTATGTTTGGAAATCATAAGCAAATGGAAAAAAAGAAATGAGAATGTTGGTACATTTGATTCCTTTGCTACGGACTGAGAATCACAGACTCCCAGCATTTGAAGGAATGTCACCGTTCCTGGAAACAAGAATTCCTTCCACGGTACCCCTCTAGAGAGCGGGTTCCTGCCATGGTGCAACCAGCCAGCAGCTGGAAGACCCTCACCTTGTTTTTGTTGGAATGAAGAGCTAGAAAGTTCTTCCATGACCCAACTGTGAATTTCTTCCTTGCAACACTCACATACAGGGCCCCCTGAGCTACACTCTGCAGTTACACTTGATAAATGTTGGTATGTGGCAGCCATTTTCAGATAGGAGATAAGTTATTTGAAACTCTAGGTTCACACTTGTAAATGGTTCATTTATTGGAAGTTCTAAAAGTTCTTTAACATGCCTCAACACACTGTGCTGGCTATAAAGGGAAAGAGGGGTCACGTAGGGTTTGGTCCCAAAATACGTATTCCTCAAAGTACCTTCTGGGTATACTGCACAGAACAGATGGGGAGAAATGCTGCACCAGCCCAGCAACATTTGTTAGAGCACACCAGGGGAAGACTTGCCTGGTGATCAGGTGCCCTGCAACGTCCTCAACCGTGGGTATATCACACATGTGGCAAATGAACACTCACAGGCAGAGCCGTGCAGCCTCCACCAGGGAGACCACCAGGAGTCACTTCATCAACTTCTGTTATTCTTCTTAAATGGTTTTTCATGGGACTAATTAGAAGTTCCTAAAATATCATGAAACTCTCCTTAAGATTCCTTTTTGATAAGGTAAACATCCTTCTGGATTCAAACCATCCATTGATTTTTCAAGTGGAAATTTCTTACAGAAACTAATTTAGTGGTACTACTGGGAAGTGCTGTCTATGAGGAGTTATGGCAGCACAGGGCTTGGGTGGGTCTTGGTCCCAAGTGCCTAGTGCAGTTCAGGAGGAAGCATTCATATATTGAGTGTGTAGTACATGCTTGGCACTTCCACACACATGATCTCATTTCAACTTTAAGACAATCTTGTCTGCTTTCCCAATAGAGAGACCCAGAGGGATGGAGAAACAGAGCAGGGAGTTAAGAGCTGACATAGACAGCTGATGCCAAAGCCCAGGGACAGCCGCCATATCTCCTCAACTCCCAGAGGACAGCCTCAGGAATATTCCTTTTCTTTGGAATACTCTAGAAGGAATGCAGCTCATACAACAGGAAAACGTCAACAAAATTATTATGAAGGGAGAGGCAGACTCTATCTTAGATCAAATGATATACCTGCCCTAACTCTACCAAAGGCCAAATCTCCAAATAATTATGCCAAAAGACACAAAGATTTAATAAAAAGATGATGGTCAAGAACTTGGAGATTGAACTAAGACCATGTTATATGACAATTACATCTTGCAAAAAAGTGGGGGAAAAAAGAACTTAAGATTAAAGTAATTTCAGTGACATGCATGACAACAGTATTAAGCAGGGCCAAGGTGCCTGAGGCCCTCAAACATTAACTTCATGGGAGCTCTGGTGGGTGGGGAGCACAGAAGAGAGTGTGGTAGCCAGGACAGAGCTGGCAATGCTCCAAGTCACTAGCTTTGAAAGTTTTTTTTTTCCTTATATATTTCCCAAGTTAGTTTATATGTCTACTACTTTGGCATACAACAGGCACAAAGCATTTTTTTTTTTTTTAAACTGCCAACTTTGATGGGTCAACGGCAGGTTGTTGGAACAGCAATTTCTTTGAAGACTCTAATGGCAAATAATCCTTGTTAAGCTCGTCACACCTCTTGCTGCATGAAGAGGAGAAAAATGTGAAAGTCCAGTACTTAACTATCTCTTCTACTCTAAAGAAAGTCTATGGAAAATACCATCTGCATTAATTTGGGGGAGAGTCATCTACTTGCAAGGGATGACTGGAAAGAATACTGGAGAAGTAAGAATGGGCAACTGGGTCGTTTCCTGGTTTCCACCCAATAAGTCTTTGTCATTTTAACTGAAATAAGTTCAGAGGTCATTAGATACTTCTGCGTTCAAAGGTAAATTGCAAAGGAAAAGTATCCAAATAACTTTTTGGTTATTTGCAGCTTGGGATCATCTACACTTCTATTAATAAAAAGAAAACAAAGAAGAGACTCTAACAGAATTTTCTCAAAATGAAGAATAAAAATGCAATAAACTATATCACTGGGAAAATGTTGAAAAGAAAAGAAAACCTCTGTATGAAGTGAAATACCTCTGTATGGAGTGAAATATTATCTGATGCAGAATATATACAATAATTGCTCTACTATATACTCCTTTTTCAAAACCAGAGTTCATCACAGAAACATGGGTTTAAAAAACTAATCATCAGGCCATGAATTGTACTGCCATAAAAGAAAGCCATTCTTTTCTGCTTATAAACAACAAAACTACCACATATGCAGATGCATGCCTCAGTACCTCTGTGCAATGGTGTATTTACTTGTATAAATATTTAAAGTCAGACCTTTGAATTTCTAATGAAGTAGTACACCACTTTACAAAATAAGATACTAGTAAATTTAGATGTACGACAAATAGAACTCTGTTCAGAATACTAATTGCTGCTGTTGATATTCTAAAACTAAAAAAAGTAATGTTATTCAGATTCCATCTAAACAAGCATAATACATGGGCAGAAATCTCGATAGGTCTTGATGAAACCTTACTGCTAAAATTGTTATATTATCAGATGAGTAACCACCTCCTATCTTTGGTTAGTTTTAAGTTATCGGAGGTACAAGGCAAGCTTCATGTCCGGCACTTTTTCCCCCTTGCTCTTATTTTAATGATACACATTCAATCATCACAGGCAAGAAAAGAGTCACATCAGAAACATCTGTAGTTTGCCATATAATGACTGGGTGTTCCCCATGGAGACTGACCTTGTCACCCAGACGCAGTTGCTGAAAGTCTGTGTGATGGGGGTGCTCACACGTGTAAAGGTATGACATGATTATGAAGAATTCAATAGACACGGTTATTTTCCACCTTAGTTTATGTTAAAGTAAGCTCACACGTTCTGCTCTTATGATTAATCGCCTGCTCCAGCATGCAGCAGTTGAATACCCTTGCTCTTAGTGGAGTCCACAAACCACTAACCTAGAAGGTTCTGCTTATAAGGTTGAATCCTGTTTGAAATTCACAGGTGACCGTAACTTTACCTGTGATCGGGATCTTCGCTGCCATGCTTTCTTCCCTGCTCTCGTCTCCACAGCCACTGGAAACTTCTAAAAACAAAACACATGATGATAAAAGTGTATCTCAAGGGTATATTTATGGAGTGGACCTTTGTTTGCCTTTTTTTTTAAACTGCCGTTCCTTTTATTTTCACTGCCTCCCCATGTCCCTTTCTGTGGGTTTATTTTTTGTCTGAAATTGTACTGTTTCTAAAAGGAAACCTATTCTTTTTTAAGATTATTTATTTATTTGAGAGAGCTCGAGAGAGCATGAGCAGGGGGTGGGGGAGGTAGGAGGGGTGGGGAGGTGGAGGGTGGGAGGGGCAGAGGGACAGAGAGAAGCAGACTCCCTGCCGAGCAGGGAGCCCAGCAAGGGCCAGGACCCAGAGATCCTGACCTGAGCCCAAGGCAGACACTTAACTGACTGAGCCACCCAGGCGCCCCAAAAGGAAACGTGTTCTAAATCTAAGGTATCTCTATGTTGCCTTCAAGCAAAACAGTATAGTCCAACATCTGTCAAATTCAATAGGGCTTAAAACAAGTGGGCTCCAAATCCTGCGCATGTATATTGACTTCTGCGTATATCCTGAGCAACTCCTGGCTGTCTTAGAAATGCCATTACAGCAGTTTCCTGGCATGCCTTAACGGTACTACTAAAATAATCACAATTTCCGGATACTAAAAATTGGCTGTTAAATTTGGGGGGCATAAACTCATTGATTCTTAGTCATCTGTTGAAACTTTTATAAGGTTCCATTACAATTAAAAAGAATGTTTACATTGTATGGTATAGAATTTTCAGATTTAGTTTGGGGTTAATAGGTAGTTAGGTATCCCTGTCAAAATTTAATTAATGAATATTGGCAAGACAAATTAGGACATTTTCATAGCATAAAGATTATACTACTAGGCTCAGACTAAAGACAAAATTATAAGAACTCTGACAGCAAGGACATGTTTTAGACCTATTGGTAATACCTCTCTAAAAATGTGATTTTTGATCACTCAGTTCATTCAGAAAAAAGATTGATCTTCAAAAAGGTAGTTAAATGAATCATGCTTTCGGGGCGCCTGGGTGGCTCAGTTGGTTAAGCAACTGCCTTCGGCTCAGGTCATGATCCTGGAGTCCCAGGATCGAGTCCCGCGTCGGGCTCCCTGCTCGGCAGGGAGTCTGCTTTGTCCTCTGACCCTATCCCCCCTCATGTGCTCTCTCTCTCTCAAATAAATAAATAAAATCTTTAAAAAAAAAAAAGAATGTTTACAAATTATGAGTAAATTTTATTAAGTGATATCAAAAACTTTGCAGTATTTTATGGAATCATTGTAATGGAATCACCTTCATCCTTGTGACATGATCAAAATGATCTACTGCCAAGAGATTCATTTTGCTAACATTTCATTACTTATAAAAACTTATTGGAGGGGTGCCTGGGTGGCTCAGTCAGTTAAGTGCCTGCCTTCGGGTCATGATCTCGGGGTCCTGGGATGGAGCCCTGTGTCCTGGGATCCAGCCCTTCATTGGGCTCCCTGCTCAGCAGGCAGTCTGCTCCTCCCTCTCCCTCTGACCCTCCCCCTGCTTGTGCTCTCTCTCTCTTTCAAATAAATAAATAAAGTCTTAAAAAAAAACTTATTGGAAATTCAGCATAACAGCAGACCTATGATTAGGTCTTCCATTCCTGTTAAACTAAATGAAAACAAATATATTTCCTAAAAGGTGGTATAAAACAGAGAAAATATCATGCATATTAAAATCAGAAGTGTTCTCTAATCAGCTTAATTTTATAGGTATACCTTAAGAAAGAGGGTGTTGCGTTGATTCTGAATGCATGTTTTCTGTGGACAGAATTTATAGCAATAGTTACCTTGTTCCTTTGTACGAACATTGTTGAGCCACTGAGCGGGTCTGGCTTCCTTTATTCCACTATTGTCATTCAGAATAGACGGCAAGCTGCAAGATGATTCATTACTGTGAATAGCTGACCTATCGTCACACTCTTCTGTAAGGGCTTTTTTCAATAATGCTGTTGCCTACAGTGTTTAAAAGAAAGCACAAAGAAATAAAAACAAACTCTAACCACATTACCCTTGGTCTCAAAAATCCAGCCTTCAAATGTAATTTTAGGTTAAGCTTTACTTGGGATTTAATTTGCTTCCTTTTAACTGAAATTAAAATGTCTTCAAGATGAGACAACATCTGATTATTTTCCAGCATAATTTCTTTACAACAACTTGCACTTGTGATACCTTCTTTGAGGACTTATGGAATGCAGAAGTGTTCTCTGACTCATGAAGTATGTATATGAGATGTGACCACCTCCATTAATCTGGGCTGGTTCATCCAAGATTTATCTTTCATTGCATGAATCTGTTTTTCAGGCATGAAGACAGTTGATTTGGAATGAGAGATCTGGAAGGATGTGACTTTGAGGTATCCCCATCCTTCTAGAAATGACCTGTGAACTTCCCCAAATGAGAGGATTGCAGAAAAACTTTGTGGCTGAGGAGGATACATGAAAACAAAAAGAGAACTAACCTTATTCTAAATCATAATCTTCAATCAAGGATAAAGACACTTCACACTTTGCCCCTCAGTCTTCTGGGAGCTTAGGAAACTGGCCTGCCACACTGCCTATCTGTTTTCAAAGGGCCCTGAACTGTCTTTACCCATATCACCTCATGTCTTGTGGGCAGGCAGGTGGGCACAGATTTCATCACGGCCAACCTGAGAGGTAGAGAACAAGTGGCAATTAACAGGACAAGTTAATACTCGGGTCTATTCATTTCCAGGTCCATCTCCTCCTGAGAAATACAAATATACTGGTAACAAGAGGTAACCAATGATGACATAACCTCCTTCCAGAGTGTATGTTTCTCGTTCACTTCCTACTTGTAAGTGGTGATTTGCCCAGGCTTTTGGCAGAGAAAACCTAGGTGGTGGTGCTGATCTATCACTGGTATCTGATGACAGGAATAAATACAGGGCAGGGTCCAACCCAACCTGTTGGAAACAAACAAGAGATTCTACAAGTTAATATGAAGAGTGGGACAGGGACAAAGCCTCACGGGTCATCTTTAGTCTAAGCACAAAGGGGTAACACCATAATTATCTGGGGAAGAAGAGGGAAGACAATAATCTTTCCTTGTGATTAATACAAAAGAAGGTGAAGATGTCCTGACATATCTGCCTTACTGAGGCAGAATATGGAAGATCTAGCCTTGTTGAGTTTGGCCTGGAACATACTTTGAGGTCACTGCTGTGGGCTTTGACATCCTTGCAAGGCTCCTGCCTTCTGCCCTCCCTAGGACCGGCTGACCTCTTGGACTCATGCCCATCCTAGGGGCTGCAGCAACTGATTAGAGGGGATTTAAGGAGTTCTAGTTTCCTTGGCCAAGGGACCTGGCATCAAGTTAGACTTGTAGCCAAGACCTGTCTGTGGTTCACTTCTAGTAACCAGGTGCTTTTCCTTCATTTGTTTAAATTAGTCCTGGATCTTATTCCAATTGCGGTAACTCTATATTGGGATGATCTGCACAGTATCCCTGCAGACTAGGGTTCAGGTATAAAGTCCTGCCTCTGAAGCTCAGGCCAGGGCTGGTTCCTGTCCCTGGCTGTCAGAGTGCCCCAATCCCAGCCGCCTACATGGACCACTGCACTGCAACTGCTTCCAGAATCTGTCCAGGAAGAGGTATGAAGAGTAGGACCACGTCCTTGAACTGCCATCTCTCAACTGTCAGTATGGTCTCTGGACCATCCCCTGGCATGTCTCATTTCTAGATCTCTACCCATCCTGATCTAGGCTCTTCCCACAGAGAGTTAAGCTCCAATTCTGTGTGCCCAATAATCCTGGCTATGTGAAAAGCATTTTAGAATATGAACAAAAAGAATTGGCCCAGATTCTGTAATGAAAGCTGTAGTTTTCTTTTTCTGATAGTTAAAATAATCCAAATATCTGGAAGACCCTCAAAGATGTATTTCTTCCTCATCTTATGCAATAGCTGTAACTAATAATTTCTTGGCATGACTTCATTATAATGGCCTCTGTCTCCACACATATCTTAAGAATAAAATTGTTTAAGAACTGTTGCAGCTTCCTGCACTTTGTGCTGCAGAACTTGCAGACAACGGAAACTGGGGTTGCCAGTGACTCAGATTACTTCTCATTAGGCCCTCAATGATGACACACAATTTATCTCACTGCTCTGTGTATCCCTTTTCATACGAGACCCTCTTTTGCTTTAGCTGGGTTCCAATTGGGCCTCAAAATAAAATGCTATAATAATACTGCAAATGTCTAATAAGTCTTTCTATGCTTGATACTGATACCAGCCCTGCCACCAGTTCTACGCTGAGCCCCCCCCTTTTTTTTTTACTGGGGTGAGGTAAGTAGAGTGGTGAGCATATTGCAGGTCTTTATTTCGTATATTTCATAAATGAAGATAAATGATCTTCACTACTCAATACTCCTATCTCTAGGATTTCTCGTACTTTTTTGATAGGGACATTGAAAAAAGGACTCATCTTCTAAGATAATTCTATAGATAATTTCTCAAAGATGAGTTTTTTCTATCTGTAAGGATTTTGGTAGAAGGTCCAATTACTACATGAGAATGGCTGGCTTGGCTTTACTGGACCATGGAGCCAACAGAGAGCAGCAAATGTGCCCAGTGGGTCATCCGTAAAAGAATCCACAATATAAGGCCCTAACAAGCCGGGAATAATGATAAGCAGGGCAGAAAGAAACGTCAGCCTCAGACAAGGAATAATCAGAAAGTTTTAAGTCAAAAACAACTTCGGTAGAGTCGGGAGAAACATCTGTAATACATTCCCAAGCTGTATTGTTAGCAGACCTTTTAGAAAGACAGATTTTTAAGGAAGCCCCCAATTTGAAGGAGCTTGCGGCCTGAGGCTACAACACTAACCCATACCTGCACAGGAACAAAAGCCCAGAGAAGAGTGAACAAGCTGCTTTACACAGCTCACGCTGGGACTGAATGAGCTCTGCAAATTGGAGCTCTCGTATGTGACAAATGCCACCAGACAACAACTTTTCCTACCGGCCTCCTGATGGTGTTTATGAATGGACTATGCTTGGGTTTCAACTTATCTGTTAGCTAATAAAGGCTCTCTTCAATTTCATACATTTTGAGCCCAGGAGGGGGATGGAGACTGTCTCACTGCTCTCAGCAGTCTGATGTTTAAGTCAATACCAACAAACTAGTCTCTCACTTTTCTGCCTTCCCCGGAGCCAGGAGAAAGGGAAATTCAATGCCAAGGCACACACTGTTTGCAGAATGACGGATGGTGATATCTCCACATTTCAGCTCTCGTGAAAGATAAATCATCCCATGAATTATAATCAGCAGGACACCTGGAGTTATTCGTTCAATCTACTAGAATTTTTCTTAAAGTTCAGTTTAAATATGGATCCTGCTAAGTCTAGAACCCCAAGAATCATCTCTTACTTTATACCCAGAAACAATCAATTATGATATTCACATGCATAGATAGATAGATGAACGTATTACTGGAAAAGACATTATGTCCAAAACACCATTTTAAGAAATGAGAGGAGAAAATCAAACTGCTCAAAATATTGTAACAAATTGTACCAATTTCTAGAAAAAAAAATTCTTACAAGTCAATAAGAAAAAAATTACTTACCTAATAGAAAAATGAGCAAAGAACATGAACCTGCAAATTATTAAAGAAGAAATACGAATGGCTAACAAATAGGCAGGGGAAAATTTGACCTCAATTGTAATATAAAGGTCAAATGAACAAAAAAAATTGGATGTCATTTGTACTTCTCAATCTTGGTGTTCAAAAAAAAAAAAAGTCAATAGTATCCAGTTTTATTAAAAGCTCAAGGAAATGATATTTTCATTCGTTCCTCATAACTGATGACCCTTCCAGAGTGAGATATACTGGTGCATAGCTACAGCGTTGAGAGATGCATGTACGTACCTTCTGACCTGACAATTCCACATCTAGAAATTCATTGTAAGGAAACAGCATGGACAGCTGTAAAAATTGAATAGCCCAGATGTTCTCTGAAATTTTTTTTACTAGAGGAACAATTAAAAACAAACTTCAACAACAGGAGTGTGTTTAAAGAGACTGGATATCCAGGGCGCCTGGGTGGCTCAGTTGGTTAAGCGACTGCCTTCCGCTCAGGTCATGATCCTGGAGTCCCCGGGATTGAGTCCCGCATCGGGCTCCCTGCTCGGCAGGGAGTCTGCTTCTCCCTTTGACCCTCCTCCCTCTCATGCTCTCTGTCTCTCATTCTCTCTCTCTCAAATAAATAAATAAAATCTTTAAAAAAAAAAAAAAGAGACTGGATATCCATACGAGGGTCTCCGTACAGCCATTTGAAATGATGGAGAAGAACATGGGATGATATGAAGGGAAGCCCACTTGTGACAAGTGGGAAAAAAAGCAGCTTTGTACACAAAAGTACAGCCCATGTTTGTCAGTATATTAAATATTAAAAACTACACTCTGCAATGCCAATAGACAATTTTCTTTTATTCTTTTTGTTTACCTTAATATTCCAAATTTGGAGGTTTTTTTTTTTTTTAAGACATGCTACCCACAAAAGAGTCCAATTTCTGTGATGGGTGATACAAATATAAACAGAAAGTGAACGTGAAAGCATTTAGTAAAATTAAATTCTCTTCTATACCTAAATCAGTGCTATTAATGCAGATACAAAAAAAGCAAGAGAATTATGGCTGTAGACAGCAGGTGACATTTTTTCCTAATACACAAATTTAACTGACCTTCCTCAAGAACCTTCCTCTTGCACACCAGAAGTAATTTTTCACAGCTTAAAGCAAAATGCTCTTAAGTTATATCTAAGTTATAGGAGGGGAAGGGGAAAGGAGAAGGAAAGGGGATTTTTATCTATGTAGCAATTAAAAGAAATGGGAAAGTATTCATATGAGCCAGCAAATGAGTATTCAAGAGATAAGATCAAAAAACCAGTCCATCATTTAGGGAGAGGTGAAGGGATTTCTGTGACCAATCACATGTCTCTCTGGCAGTGTATGTGTGGTGAGGGACAGGACTGACCTACTCTGTGGGTGACACCAGCAAGCCACTCTGCTTTGCCTGGAGAAGTTCTCCCGGGCAGAAAGAGACATCACGTAGGAGAAAAGGAGTATTAAGGCACTTAGTGTTTTAATGAGGCACCCAACTCATTTTTTTTTTCCACATAAAGTAATTACAAATTTTTCTGATTTAAAAGCATGCAGCTCAATTATGTAATTACCTAATAGGTTATGCAGGTGCTGTGGATCTTATCTGGTCTCGAGGGGACATAATCCGAGTTTCCGCGGCTTTAATGATGTATTTACTCAAGAGACGGGACTGACTCCAGCTGACAGCAAAGGGACCCACAGGTAAACATCATTTACATGTGGCTGTTTGATTAGCCATTAACTCAAGAGATCAAAGTAAATATTTCTTAGCTTCGTTAGATTCTTCACTAAGTAATTTCTAGTAGAGCTTTCTTAAATTTTGAAAACCCTTAGTTTTATGATTTTTATCTATGGAGAAATATTTAACCCATACTATTTACTAAATGTATATATTGTTTCTTTCTTTTTTTTTTTTTAAAGATTTTATTTATTTATTTGACAGAGAGACAGCGAGAGAGGGAACACAAGCAGGGGGAGGGAGAGGGAGAAGCAGGCTTCCTGCTAAGCAGGGAGCCTGATGTGGGGCTCGGATCATGACCTGAGCCGAAGGCAGACGCTTAACTGACTGAGCTACACAGGCGCCCCTATATTGTTTCAATGCAGAGAAATAACTCAAAGACACTTGATTTTGCTCATTGTGACAGGATGATTGCGTAAAGCAAAGCAGTTCTAGAACCCACAAAAGCATTTTGTTGTGAAGTTCACAAGGCTTGTCTTGCTTGTGTCATTTTGGTAACACGGTTCTTTAGGGCTGTGCATTTCTTCAGTCCTAAACTAACAGAAACTGCCCACTTTTAAGGACAGACTTCGTCATTAATTTGTTGGTAGCTTTTATGATTGTTACGAAGATGAGATCATGATGATTTAAAAAGGAACAAAAAGCCTACTAGGGGAGGCAGAATATAATTTGATTCCTAAGTTCTTAATCAGGCAGCCCTCTTCCCATTAATACTGGAGTTATTATTTGAAAAATTATGAGTGAATTGGTAATCTGGAACTTGGAATATATGTTCTACTATAAACAAGTTAAATAACAAGATGATTAGATAGGAAAGGGCAGTAGATCTTTCACCCTTGATGTGGTTGAGATGCGAAGTACTTGCAGTGAATGGAATGAATGGGAAACAGTGTTGTTATAAAATAGTACTGAATAAAATGGACAACAAAACCTGAGAACAAAATCCTTCTTAAGAACTACATTTATCAACAGATATGGAATGGACCTAAGAAACATAGGTTCTGTTTTTCCTAAAGAATACCGTTATTTATTGAATCACATAAAATGCAGTAAAATGCAAATGTGTGTGAGAAGGATACATTCCAGGTTATCTGTGAAAAGAGAAACTGGATCCGTGAGAGGCACATGGGGGCTGTATCTATAACTGCAATAGGTGATTTCTGAAGGAAGCAGGTAAGAGGAGGGTGAGGAGGGGTAGGGTGATGGCAGGGTCGGGGGGAGAAGGAAGCAGAAGGTGAAATCTGAAACAAATCTGGTGCAATGGTAACAACACACATGAACTTGGGCAGGCATGGGATTGTTCATTACATCATTCTATGTGTATATGTTTGAAATGTTAAAATAATCTTTCTCCTCTTTTTAATTAAAGAGGCAAGGAAGGGGGGCTTGGGAAGCACTGAAGGTGTTTTGAAAGGCTTGGGGAAGGGAGTGATGGCAGAGACTTGACCACACAGTGACAGTTGTGTGTGACTTCGGTGCTGAGGTGGCAAGGCTTGCCTCCAGGAGGGGCACATGTTAAATCCTTGAACTTTGAACATGATACAAATACAAACTTAAAAAGGATCAAAGCCAGAAAACCCTACATTACAGGTAAAGATGAGAAAACACACTTTGAAATAAGACACACTGATAAGGCATTAAACTTAGAAGAAGCGCCAGCTCTCTGAATAGATGGCCTTCTAGAGAATCATGAAGACTATACTAGGCACGCTCTAGACCTGGCCTTCTGGGTCCTCCCTTGCTCTCCTTAGGGATCTGCTCCATCTGTTCAGCATCTTCACACTCTCCCTTGGGTGCCTCCTTGCTTAAAAAGCTCTCAGGGCTTTCCGGGTCTGCTAAACCAAACACAAACTCCCTACTTGGGCTGGACAGATGCTGCGCACAGGGCCCATGACACCCTGGACCTTCTCGCCCACCACCCCCAGCCTGGAGCCCACCCTCCAGCCAGGAGGACCGGAGCTCAGCTCTACTTCCGGGGTCTGTTCTTTGGCTCCCAACAGCCCTTCCCTGTTGCCCCTGCCATCGCCTGCCTGATGCACCCCCCTGCACTCTTAGCCTGTCAAAATTCTGTCTCTCTTTTAAGGGTCACCTCACATCTTTCTACTCCCTCCCCTGTAAAGTCTGCCCTCATTCTACCTCCAAATGGCTTGGCTCCTTCTTCTGAAGGCCCATATCCTTTGCTATTTTCTTATTGCACACATCCCACTATGCCATTCCCCAGAAGGAGATGCCAAGTTTTTCTTTCTTTCTTTCTCTCCAATGTATCTGGGCTAGTACCTGTGTACAGAGGTGGATCAATACATATTTGCTGAATTAACATTTATGACTTTTCAGTATTTTTATATGGAGTGGAGAAAGAAAACCAGAATGCTACAAGATGCTTCCAAGTTCCTTAAAAAATGTTGTGATTGTTATGTTTAAATAGGTTACCTCTAGGATCTGAATTAACTGTATGGAGGGAGTTGAGATTTCTACACAAAACTCTGTGCAAAAGGCCTGAAGTGCAAACAAATCACAAAACCTCACTTACTATGTAACATTTTTTTTCAAATATTTTAACCATTGTAAAGAATGTCACTATTTCCTCAAATAATCATTTGCATAAAATTGAAACTTATTTTTTAAAAAATAAATATTACTGACCCTTGGTGTCTGGTTCATGTTTTTGACTGGGAAAACTTCAGATGGCTTAGCTACCTCTTCTTTGATAGAATTATCATGTTCTTGCAACGTGGCAACATGCTGATCCAAGTGTGCCCTCAATAAGGCTGCTGCTGGTGCTTGTTCAGATCTATAAAACAGAAAGGGGAGACACATTAAAGACTGCCAATACTGCGTTACCTAGGAGATTCCTTCATTTTTAGAGGTGCCACAATCAAGTTAACAAAGGACAGTTTATCCAGAAAAGTCTGGAACCTAGTATATTCGGGAGTAAGGTAATTTCCAGAGTCCAGGTATCTTTTTTTTTTTTAATTTATTTTGGTTATGAGTTCACTTGCTAAATGAGCATTCCCAACTTTGATTGCCTACTGGAACCACCTGGGGAGATTTGCAAAACCTAGGTGTCTGGTGCCACTCCTAAAGGATCTAATAAAACTGGACTGGGGTGTGGCCTGGCCGTTAGGATTTTTTTAAGGCTCACAGAGTGGTTCTAATACGTAGCCATGGTTTCAAATCACAGCATAGATGGTCAGGCTCCTCTTACGTGTGGTTAAAAGAAACTGATCACATTTTATTCTCAACAACTCTTATCCTTGTTTACTCTTTGTTATACTTGTTATACTTGTTCATCCTTGTTATACTCTTACTATGGTCTACTTGTAATTAAAAAGCATTAAGATAATATTAGGAAAGAGTTCAAAAGTGAGCCTAAATTATATGCCCAGCCTATGGCATGTAGTATACCTCTGGGGTAGGAGACAGACAAGATGAGCGTGGAACACCTTGGTATCAGAGAGGAAGCTCTCAGAGACTACTGAGTCGTGTCTAAAGGCCTCAGAGGCTATCATGAAGGGGATCCCACTGGCCCAAGATGAGACATTTTGAACACCAAAAAGAATAATGACCGCAATGGACTGACACACGGCAGATACATGAAAATCATGAGTTCATTTAAAAAATAAATAACAAAAAAAGTAAGGAAGCTTTTAAAAGAATAAAAACCTTTCTAAAAATAGAAAAAAAAAGCCTTAAAAAAGGAAGCAAGTCTTGCCACATGCTGCAACATGCATAAATCTTAAGGACATTATGCTAAGTTAAATAAGCTAGTTACAAAAAGGCAAATACTGGATAATTCGATTTACATAAGGTACCTAAAATGGTCAAATTCATAGAAACAGAGCAGAATGGTGCTTGCCAGGGACTTGGAGGGAGAGAGAATTGGAGAGTTGATTAATGGGTGTAGAGTTTCAGTTTTGTAAGATGAAAAAGTTCTGGGGATCTGGTGCCCAACAACATGAATATCCTTAATGCTTGAAAATGGTTAAGACGGGGGGTGCCTGGGTGGCTCAGTTAAGCATCTGCCTTCAGCTCAGGTCATGATCCCAGCATCCTGGGATCAAGCCCTGCACAGAGCTCCCTGCTCAACTGCGGGGGGGGGGGTGGGGGGGGGTGTCTGCTTCTCCCTCTGCCCCTCCCCCCACTCATGCTCTTTCTCTCTCTTGCTCTCAAATAAATAAAATCTTTAAAAAAATGGTTAAGGGGCGCCTGGGTGGCTCAGTTGGTTAAGCGACTGCCTTCGGCTCAGGTCATGATCCTGGAGTCCCGGGATCGAGTCCCACATGGGGCTCCCTGCTCGGCAGGGAGTCTGCTTCTCCCTCTGACCCTCCTCCCTCTCATGCTCTCTGTATCTCATTCTCTCTGTCTCAAAATAAATAAACAAAAATCTTAAAAAAAAAATAAAAAAATAAAAAAATGGTTAAGATGGTAACTTTTGCTGTGTGTGTTTTACAATAATTAATAATATAAGCCAACCAGCCAACAAACCTTTGGAGGCTGCTAGGGCAACAACTCATTCTGATAATTGGTAAGTAAAGGGACAGAATCATTTATGCCACCTTTGTGGTCAAAAAAATGCATTTCAGGATTAACAAGAAGTTGATGGGCAAAGTTCTTCCAACTAATAAATGCACAACAAATGAATGAATGAGTCACCATTCTGTAAGTCCAAATTAATGAATGCATCCAAGAAATGGTAATTTTGTGAAAATTACATAGTGGTAAACGTCATACTAAAGGCATCAGTGGGGGCGCCTGGGTGGCTCAGTTGGTTAAGTGACTGCCTTCGGCTCAGGTCATGATCCTGGAGTCCCGGGATCGAGTCCCGCATCAGGCTCCCTGCTCGGCAGGGAGTCTGCTTCTCCCTCTGACCCTCCTCCCTCTCACGCTCTCTGTCTCTCATTCTCTCTCTCGCAAATAAATAAATAAAATCTTTAAAAAAATAAAAAATAAAAAAAAAATAAAGGCATCAGTGTGCCAACGCTTGAACCTACAGATCAGTCTTAGCACCACTAAAAGTGGGACAACCAGCTATCCCGTGCTGCCTGTGGACGTGTAACAGAAGGACCAGTACCACCTACGATGTTGTCTTGCCAAAATAACTGGTCTGGAGTATAATCTTTTTTTTTATTATTATTATATTATGTTAATCACCATACATTACATCATTAGTTTTTGATGTAGTGATCCACGATCCATTGTTTGCGTATAACACCCAGTGCTCCATGCAGTATGTGCCCTCCTTAATACCCATTACCAGGCTAACCAATCCCCCCATCTCCCTCCCCTCTAGAACCCTGTTTGCTTTTCAGAGTCCATAGTCTCTCATGGTTCGTCTCCCCCTCCGATTTCCCCCCCTTCATTCTTCCCCTCCTGCTATCTTCTTCTTCTTTTTTTTTTTTAAACATATAATGGAGTATAATCTTGTATCTGGATTAAACCACCAGTTTATGTGTAACATCATTTGGATCCTTTTTCAAACAAATAAAATGTAAAAAGACTTTGAGACAATCAAGGCCAACTGGCAAAGAATAGGTATTAGATAATGAATCTTGTTAAACAGTAATGTATTTTTTTTTAAAGATTTTATTTATTTATTCATGGCAGACAGAGAAAGAGAGAGGCAGAGGGAGAAGCAGGCTCCCAAGGAGCAGAGAGCCCCATGCGGGACTCGATCCCAGGACCCTGGGATCATGACCTGAGCTGAAGGCAGACGCTTAACCATCTGAGCCACCCAGGCGCCCAACAGTAATGTATTAAATGCTTATCTGTTAGGTAAGTATTTGTATTTGTAAATGAAATATGTTATCTGTTTTAAATGACTCAAGAAAAAAGTGTGGGGGAGAAAAAGAGATAACACAAGACTAAAAAAATGTTGACAATTGGTGGATCGTAGTTATAAATCATGGGATTTCATTATGTTGTTATATTTGCTTTTGCGAATTTTTTAAAATTTCAAAGTAAAAAGTTAAAAAAACCCAATGTATTAATGTCTGTAATTACTTGTAAATGCATCAAAATAAGAGATTGAGATTGAGAGACGGGTGGAAGGATGGAAAGACAGACAGATATGGGTGTGTAATAACATGTCAATGGTAGATCTGAGTGGTAGATATAGGGATGGATGCTCACTGTACAGTCCCTATATTTTTCTGCATGTTTGGAAATTTTTGTAATAAAATGGGGAAAAAAGTAAGTCTATATACGATTCAGAATATGTACATTCTTTAATGCAGCTTTATTGTTAAAATCTTTGCTTGACTTAACCAAGACTTGCATAAAGTAGGATGTGTCATGGGGATCCTTGAACTTCTTTAAAAAGTTCCCAGAATGATTCCAAAGTTTCTGGCTAGTTTGGCAGACAGCCCCTTCAGTAACTTGAATTTGTTGGTTTCTTCCAGACTTCACTGAAGTCATAATGCCACTCAATTCCTTTGTTCTGATTCTTATATACATGAAGGAACATCCATCTGCATTTAGTTTCACAATAGATTTCCCTACTGGGAAAATGCACTCACAGGACATGAGCAAATTCTAGTCTATTCAGCTGTTGTATTTCTTATAATGAGTAAATCAATTGTGTTTCTAGTCTGAAAGCATGTTTAGTTAGGTTGAATTAAACTTGAAAACAAGCAGAATTAGAATGAATTACATTAATTAAATTAGTTGGGATGGATTGAATGATCAGAGACCAGTCTCTCAGGTGATTAATACACACGATTTCTGCAGAGGCAAAGCCAAGGCAAGACTCTGGCTACTGATATCCCCACCAACTATAACCATCCTTTGGGTCCTGGGATGAAGAACTAGCTAAGGTTTCCCACAATTACCGTACAAACTTCACAAAAGGCCAAAACCATTAATCGACTTGCATGGGGCCAAGCAGCAAATGAACTACTGAAGGAGTTACAGCATCTAGAATCTGTGACTTCGGTACAGCTAAGCGAACACTTAAAGCACAAAAATAGGCTTTTCTGCAGATTTATTTCAGGATCGACTGGGCAAGGAGGGCAAGAGCCATGGCTGTCTTTGCATGAAGTGTTGCCCATGGTTCTACATAAATACACCAAATCAGAAAATTTGCAAAGCAGTACAAAGGCCTTAAAAAAGTTTTTTCTCTTTTGTCCACTTTCATTGGAAGATTTGTAACATCGGTGCCACAGAGAGAAAACAAAGTTTGGCGTCATATACTCCTCTAACTAAAAATATAACAAAAGAAGAGACGCGAATCTATAATTAATTTCATATATTTGGAATGGTTTCCAGTCAGAAAACTGCACTTTACACAAATGTACCCGTGCTTCCTAACCACAACTGATTTACAATAGATTGGTAATTTGATCAAAGTTTTAAATGCAGAAAAATTAATAAACATCTTGCTTTTATTCTGAATACAGGCAGAATAAAATAAAGAGGGTTTTACATATTGTAATCCAAACAATATAAAGCTGACTCAATTTTTCAGCATGAGTTTGAGAGCAGAATTGGGAAACCGTATTTGAGAGACAATTAATTAGTTGCACCTGGAAAAAAAAATGATAGTCTCATGATGGCTCATCATATAAGATAAAATTACTTACTAATTAATCGTTTTTATCCTAAAATATGTTTTCCCAAAGGCAATGATGAACAAAATTTTTTATCAAGTACCCCCAATGACATGAATCGTATTTTAGTAGTTAATTGTTTAAAATAGTGACTTGGTCCTCTACCTAGTAAAAAGCCTTTCTTCCAAATGAAGGTCTTTGAACACTCAATCTGTGATATAACAAAAATCAGTAACGATGATAGTAA